CAGGTGACCCCACAAGCATGCTGTAGGATCGGTATCTCCCAGCAGCCCGGCACCTGAACGTGCCTCGAGTGCACCAGAAGAAATACCTCCTACAGTAGTGTTTTGAGAGGTCTCTTAAAACTTTTATTGGTACTATTTTTTGTATCTTTCCACCTGTGGAGCAAGGCATCTTTAGTACATTCAGCCCTCAGCAGGAGAGGAAAATTATAACTGATCCATTTCAGAAACCTCTAAAAATGACCTAAAATAACTTTCCTATATATAAAAATGCCATGATTTTAATGTCCATTATCTCATGACCTAGCAGGGCTAGGAAAAGCTATTGTAGATCATTTTTAGTGGTTTCTAAAATGGATTGGTCACACTTTTCCCCAGCACAGTGGGACTCAGGGTACAAGGACAACTGGGCTTTAGAGATGGGGAGGGAGACAAAAATCTGTGTCTGGGCTGATTCGTCTAGAACTGTTTCATCCTCCACTACCATTTGTGCTCTCCTCAGCTGAGCAGAGATGCTGGAGCTGGTTAAGTGACAGCTATTTCCAACAAGCTGGAGAGACAGTGGTTAAATGGATGCAAAGCCTGGAGCACCAGGGGGAAAGCCAACCCCGTCCCTGCCACCAGTCTTCTGTAGAGTCTGCAGAGACAATGACCCTGGCTTTCAATGCCTGTCACAGCTCTCAATTTTGCTGGAGCATCTCACAGCTTGCGAGCAGTTTGCCCACGTGGGCTGTACCCAGCTCTGGTGCAGCCTTTCATCCCCTCACTCTGAGCTTTTACAGCATGGCTGGTTGCAGCCCGAGCTGCTGGGAAGCCACCATGGCCAGGCATTAAACATGCCGGGTTTGCAGAGAGGACATCAGCAGAGCGCGTGGAAGAAGTGGCTTCCTGCCATGCGAGAGGTTAATAGACAGATTAGAGAGGGCAGGCGCTGTTTGCTGCGAAAGGAGAGGAGCTCTGCTTTTACAGAGTTCAGCAGCTCCATGAGGCGACGGGGAAGTAAATATTTGCCAGGATTAGGGAGGCTGCGTGCAGGAGTCCAGGGAGAGTGCCCGTGCAGAGGCAACGTGTTGCTCAGGCTGGTTTCGGCATCGGGCAGGGGCTGAGAGCTGGACACCAGCCGGAGGAGGATGGAGGAGGTTGGAGCGGGACACACCGCGCCCAGAGGCACTGCCCAAAGCCTCAGGGCAGGAAAAGCCTTTAATGCTCCCTTGATGGCTTTGTTTTCCTACGCGCTGCTTTTCTTGCTCTCTCCATCGGCCCGACTGGCTGGCCCACCTCCAAAGACAGCATTACGGAGCGCCAGATCGATTGGAGCCTGCAATTTTATTTGCTGTCTTTAAGAGCCTTTGATGGGCAGGATGAGCTGTGCAGTCGAGCACCTTTCCTGGGAGAGGAGGGGAGAGGAATAGGGTTGCAAGCCACCATCTCCCCTAGGGAGGTGGGGTTCCTGCCACCAGCTTGGAGGCACTGTGGCAGGGTGGACAAAGACAGCCCTCCCAGTGCACCATGGCAGCTGAGAAGGGGCTTGCAGCCCTCTCCTTTGTGGTGCATGGCAGTCATGGTCATGGTCACCGGCATGGTGTCATGCTCACAGCCCCAAGTGAGACATCACTCTGGTCCTGCACTCTCCCGTGGGGTGAACTTTCTGCCCATCAAGGTGGAAAATGGGGCAGTTGCATGACATCCCCCTCCCAAAACACCTGTGGCTCTGGGACTGACAGCTCTTTGGAGAGATGGAGGTGGCAGGAGTGTCCCCATGAGACTGTTTGTCCCTGCCCAGAAAGAGAGGGACAGGCTCTTCTTCCACCTCTGGCTTGCTAAAAGGCACCAGAGGACGAAAGGAGGAGGATGCTGTGTGCACAGAGACTAGGGGCTGCGTTTGGGGCCCCAGTCTTGGAGCAGAGGACAGGATCTTCAAGACATTCAAGTTGTGAAAATGGGCCATCTCTAAAGGCTCCTTCAGAGTGGGGATGGAAGTGGGAGGCAGTTTGAGCAGCCTCCCTTCTCCCAGCAAAGCAAACCTGGAGGCACAAGTCCCCCCCCAGCCTCCTCAGTGGAGGAATTAGCACTGGTCATCAAGAGCTGGATCCGGCATGGAGACAACAGAGATAAATTATCCTCAGATGGACTAATTTCAGTTCAGTAGTGGTGCAGCATCTGGGGCCGTTCGGGTAGTGCAGAGCCTCCTCATGGGGCAGGGACCATGCAGGACTTCAGGGATGCTCGCCAAAGCCTTGGCTGCCTCTACCCGGCTGGCTTCTGGTGTCTTGCAGGACAGCTGAGCACAAGCAGCAAGTGGGCAAGAGGCCCACTGCTGCATCCCCAGCATCCTCCCCCAGCCTGCAGTATTTCCTGCCCCCCGCCCGGTTTGTCGAGTGCCAGGAGGGTGCTGTTGGCTCACACTGCCACCACGCGGTCGCTCGGACCCCAAAGGCTGTCCCTAAATCCCCTGCACCCCTTCAACCCCTTCGAAACACCTCCCGAGAGCCCCCAATCCCCTTTCTCTCCATTGCCCCCTGTAAAGGGTGAGGCTGCCCTGCATTTGCTCCCACCTCACCCCGGGGTGGCTGTGGGGCAGGGAAGGGGTTAAGGAGCCAGTGAGGAGGAGGAGGATGGAGCTGTAGCAGGGATCAGGCCCTTGTCTCTGGCCTTGCGATTAGCCACTCTGTTTTGCTGCATAGGGTCTGCTTGAGTAATTTAGCTGGGAGGCTCATTAACCAGGCTCTGGCCTTCGTCTGCTGGCTGAAGGCTGAAATTGCCATTAGGAAGAACACGCGTTGTGGACCGGCACAGCTTCCCCTCCCTGCTGGCCCCCCCTCTCCCTCTCCCTCTCCCTCTCCCTCCTCTCCTTCTCCCTCCCCTTCTCACTCTCCCTCCCCTTCTCACTCTCCTTCTCCCAGAATCTTCTTGCTCCCCACTGTCTGACTCCACTGCCCTTGGCTCTCTTATATGCCTGCTCCATCTCAAACCCTGCCCTAGGGGGACCAGTGTGCATGCAAGTCCTGTGCCTTAGTTTTCCCTCTGTAGACTGCAGTAGGGTGCTGCAGCTGGAGCTCATGGCACGCGCACACACACACACACACACACACCCCCACACACACACACACCCGCCCTCAAACCTTTTCGAGCAAAACCCATCATTATTTTCTGATCACGGGCTCTGCTGTGCAATGCTGAGCCAGGATCTCGGCAGCCCACCCTGGAAGTCTGTGCTCACAGCAAACCAGATGGGTTGGCCCATTATGGTCCTGCTTTGGTCCTAGATGTATCCCTGAGTGTGTTAACACTAGTGAGGCCTGGGCTGAGCCTGAGTGGGGCTGAGGAGACCTCCAGGAGACCAGCAGCTCTGCAGGGCTGTGTGTCATGTGGGGAATTTTCACAGACGTGGCTGCAGGGATGTTCCATTTTGCACTGATGTCTTGAGGCTTTGGCATCCTCCTGGTGTTGCTGGCTCACTGATGCAACGAGGACACCCTTAGCTGACTCTCTGCATTCTTTATGTCTCTGGCACAGCATGCAGAGGGGTGTTAGGTTGGTTCACAGCTTCCCTGCACCAGCATCAGTGTGGGCTGCTCCCTAGCAAGATACAGTGCATGCACAGTGCTGTGGGACAGGTGATTTGCCCTTGCAGCCCTCTCAGGAAGGAATTTCCCAGCCTGGGGGTGTTCCCTGAACTCTTGCATCACTTTGTCCTTGTTTGCATCTCATTTTTGGTAATCTAAGGCATCTGCCTCAGCTGCAGGGAGGGGAGCAGTTAGCTGTGTGGTGGGGAGCGCTGCCAGGACCACAGTGGGATGGTGAGCAGTGGTGTTTGCTCTGAGGCTGACAGGTTTGTTTTCACAATCTCTGCTTGGAGAGAAGAGTGTGTCCTGAGACATCCCAGGTAGATGCATGGGGACAAGGGCTAACAAAGGAAGGGAAAAAGGGACCTCTACAGGTTCAGACAGTCTCTCCGAAGGAACCTTGGTGCACATCCAGCCCAGAGAGTGTATTTTATAGCAATGTACTATGCCAAGGTGTTGCAGTTAGAGCCAAACTCTGCTCTTAGCAATGCAATAGTCCAGGAAGCGGAGCTGACTTCAGCGTCAGTTCAGATGAGATTTTCACCAACCTACAAGGGCAAAATTTATCAGCTGAAAGGTATCACATCTCATCCTCACACACGCACACCAGCCCTTGGCATTTTGCAGAGTCTTCTGTGGCTCTGACTGTGCTCCTGCAAAGAGCGCAGAGTGCACGTTATGTCCGGTAAAGCCGAGCACAGTGTGAACACTTGGTTGGGTTTAAAATCCTATTCTGTCTCTAACCTCTAGGACTGACTGATGAGGCCGGAGGAAGGCTGTTCCGTGCTGCATGGTCTCATCCTATCTCCAGTTGCCTGTGTCTCTTGGGAGGCAGGTCCCTGGGATGGGATCCTCTGCCCCACTGCTGAAGGTGTTAACTCTGCCAGTCCTCCTGCAAAGCTGAATTTTCTCTGCTGGTTTCAGGTTGTTCCTCCTTATCTTGCCATAAGCAGTCCTTGTTCCTCCCTTTGCGGACCTCTGGTCTTTTGGATGATCATCCCTCAACAAGTTTATCACTCCCCAGGGACATGGCAGAGAAAGCCATGAGTGCTGTAGCTTAATGGGGTCAAGAGAGCAGCACCTCCTCCTCATCAGTGATGTCTCTGCCACAGCCTTGAAGACAATTTCCCCCGGTACCTGCCAACCTCCTCTGCCACTCCATCTCTCATTAGAGTCAGTGACCTGCCAGGGGAGGAGGTGAGCTGCTGTGCACAGACCAGTCCAAAGCAAGGTCTCATGAGGGACCTCAGCAGCAAACATGGGACAGAGGGCCCCCAGGTGCTTTGAGCAGATGATAAACACAGCCCAGGCTCCCTGTGCAAACTGTGTCCCTTCCCAAGCTGGCAGTAGCTGAGCATGAAGGAGGGACATCCCCTTGTTCAGGACCTGCTGATAACCCCACCTCAATGGGTAATTCTCTTTCTCTTTCCCTGGCAGCCCCCCCGAAGGAGCCATTGCTGATGTGCCGGTCCAACAACTACCCGAAGGGTTTCTACTGCAGCTGGCACCTTCCCACTCCCACCTACATCCCCAACTCCTTCAACATCTCCGTCATGTAAGTGCCTGGGAAGGAAGGGTGCAGTGGAGTGAGTTTTTGTCCCTGCAGCCTGGAGCAAGTCTCAAGTAGTGCCATGAAGTCTTGGGGCAGTCATTCTGACCTGTGCTGAGTGTATGGGATTGGTGTCCCAAAAATGGGCCTGGTGAAGGATGTTCCAGGGACATCCCAACTGGATGCTTGCACTGGGGCTTTGTCCCAAGAAAGTTCCCAATTCCCCAGAGGGGACCACAGAAGTCTCCAGCTCCCATGTCCCCTTTCCATGCCTCCCAAGTCTATCTTCTCTGCACCACTTTTCCACATGGAGGTTTTGCCGGCTGTTTTTCGGCACATTTGGCACAGCCATGCTCCCTTCTAGCATATGCTGGCTGCAGCTGGGCAACAGCAGCATCTCTCACCTAGAACTGGCCATGGCATGGTATCATCCCCCATCCTGTGCCTGGGTCCTGGCACAGCCCTTATATAGGCTGGTGCCGTGCATTATCTTCTGGGGCTTGTGTAACCAGCAGGAAGGAGACCCCATTCCTCTCACAGGAGGGACAGAGACAACCCCAACCCCAGCAGGGTCTCATCCTTTCCTTGGGGCACATGTCACTGCAGGCTCTGTGCAGGATTAGGATAAAACATCACATACATGAGCTTGCAGAATTCCCCAGCAGGAAGAAACCATCCTTTTGGCTATGGCAGGGGCTGGTCCACAGGGACTGTGGGCAGAGCGGGGACACAGCACTGCTCTTCTGCCTCCTGCCTCCGGCAGCATGGGTGCATCCTGACCCTGCACACTGCTCTGTAGGTAACAGTTCTTCTCACCTCTGCTTTCCAGACATGGCACGAGAGAGATGGTCTGCGAGAAGGATGTCTTTCCCAAAAACAGGTGTCACATCAGATACCTCCAGCTCTTCTCGACTGTGAAGTACAAGGTGACTCTGACAGTCACGAATGCTCTGGGCAAAAACTCCACCACTGCCACCTTTGATGAGTTCGCCATAGGTAACTTCCACGGCAGCAACTGGCCTCTCTGAGACGGTGTTGGGGTTGGCTTGCTCTGCACGCAGTGTCGCCTGCCAGAGCGATGGGATCAGGGAAAGGGCAGGCTCCCCAAGTGGAGCTTCTGCTTATCCAGGCATGAGATGGAGCCAGGGTCTGAGCCATACTGGCATCCTTCTCGTGCTTTCCCTGATTCTCCTGGCCCTGCTGCAACTGGTGCCAGCACCAGAGCATCCTGGAGGAGCTAGGCAGGATGTCCACAGGCAGCCCCCATGCTGGTCCCATCAGTGCCCTGGTGCCCTGCCTAGTCCCATCCCCAGTAGTCTAGGTCTCCAGTGGTTGCTGATGTCCTTCCTACCTGAAGTCTAGGGAAGCAGCTGCCATGTGCTGGGGCAGAGGGCTGTGAAACTGGTGTGATCACAATGGCATTGCCCTTCTCGCCCCTCTGAGCATTCCCAAAAGAGAGGTTTGGTGTTTGTGCTGGAAGTAGTCATGGGAATTAGGATTGGAAGAGAAATTAAAATGGCCCATTCTCTTGCCTCCATCCCTAGGCAAGGTAAAGCCCTCCCAAAGACATACTCCACCAGCCCTTACCTAACATGGTCCTAAAAACCCTATTCCATGCCTTTGCATCTCTTCACTGCTCCACCTGGGTGGCAAAGGCTGTGCAATGTGGGACAGGGAGCAGCAGGCCCTGGGGGCCAGGGTGTCTGTGCTGACAGCCGCAGGGATGCTGCCTGGCTATGTCCAGACCTGTGGTGTGGATATTCCGACTGTGAAGGACCAGCATGGACTGGGCAATTCAGAGTCAACTATGGAAAACAGGGAGCTGGGCACAACACTTTTGCCACCAGCCAAAGACAGATTATAGCCAGTGCCGTGACAAGAGTGTTCATCCTGAAAGAACAGGAAAAATGGGAGAGAATAGAGATCAGGAACAGGTTGAAAAACAATTTGCAGGTTACATGTGGCAATTACTGGACCAGAAAAACAAATAAATGAATCCTTGAAGTGCAGCCAGCAGTCAGTCTTTGCCTTCAATATGCTGCATGTCCCAGTCTCAGGTGGCTGGAAGTGCTGGCGTGAAAGAAGAGGAGCTGCACTGCTATCCCAGATTTTCTCTTTCTACCCCAAATCCTGGAAAACATCAAACAAGAAACAAGGCACCAGCTCTGAACAGAGTGGGGAAATTATTTTGGAGCAGGGACTATCCTGCCATGTCCCTGCAGCCGCGGTCCATATCCAAAGCTCATATTCATCAGTGCTGCATTGCGAACGTTGATAACGAGCTTAGCAGGGAAGCAGTGGAGTTTCAGTCACTTGGGTGCCTTTAAATGGAAATTGTTGTGTTTGTGGAAGATACACTCCTTAAAAATGAAGGTAACCTCCAGCCTGTGGGGCCCAGGGCAGCAATTAAGCTGCATTTTCTGAGTTCCTTGCATTCCCTTTTGAAGGAGTTCAGGGCATTGTCCTGTAACATCTGCATCCCACCCATGCCCTGCCTGGCTTTCTAAACATCTGGTCCTCCATCCAGCACACAAGGGCAACACCCCTGGGAAGCACACCCAGCTTTGAGCCCCGGGCATCCCAGCACCAGCACAAGCCGGATCCAGCCCTGAAGTTTGAAGTCAGCCCAGGACGGAGGAACAGTGAGCAGAGGCCGGTGCTGCCCTGGGACAGCCATTAGCATGGGTGCAATATTGCTTCCTCTTGCAAGAGCACCCAGAGCAGTGCAGGGTACCTGGTCACATCCCAGCAGTTGCGGTGGAAGGTGAGACCCCCCACACCACCTGGCAGGTGCTTTAACACCCTTTGGGACAGCACTTAAGGAAGGGATGATGGGCCAGTGCTGATAGGAAGGGCTGTGTCCTGCCCCTCAGAGCCAGCCAGCTCCCCTAAATGCTTCAATATCTAGTGACTTTAAAATCTCCATGTTCTGTACAACTATGAAATTCTCCTCCTCTGGATTTGGTATGGCCACTGTGCATGAGAAGCACAGACACAGTGGTGATTGAGTGTTCAAGCAGGCAGTCGACAGGCTTAGCAGAGTCATTACAGGATGAACTCAGCTGCCATCGATCAACAGCCACCTGCCTTCAATGGAGCTTCTCCTTGTGCCATTCCAGTGTTTCCAATTAAAACAAGTGCACTGCATCAGTGCATTTTGCCATGCAATTTTGCCCCAGGTTGCCGGTTCTACTTGCAGAAGCTTCTGCATTTCAGCGTCTCTTCTGGCTCTCTTCTATATAGCTGCAAACCCTGGGGTGGTGTCCCAGTGTGGTGGGTGCTGGTGGTGTGGATTCAGCATCCAGTTCCCTGGAATCAGCATCAGTTTTCCTGGGGATGTCTACCAGCATCAGCTGGGCTGAGATCTCAGCTTGAAGACTGTGCTGGGTTTTGCTCTGATGGAGGGGTGGGAAACGTACAGCTCATGACAAAGCCATTGCATCGGCTCATTGGAAAAATGCTGCATGGGAGCATTGCAACATGTGTACCCATCCTGATAAAAAGGAGAGACAGTGTCAACCTGAGACTGCATGATTATGCTTCTAAAATCCCAGGACTGTCAGAGCCTCCTTGCATTTTCCCCTTAGCCTAGAGAAAACTACCACACCTTCTGCTTGGAGTATAAACTCCAGGAGTGAAGCCCTGATCTCATGCCATGCTGAGGACAGAGCAGCCTGGAGCCAACACAAGAGCAATGCAGGGCCAGTGGCTCTCCTTCCCAGCACCATCTGAGCTGGGAGCAGGCCCACTGCTGGGTCATATGACCCACCCAGCCTGGGCAAACACAAAAAGCCCCCTGGAAAGCTCCCACCTCCATTGGTTTTGTTTCCTCTCTCCTCCCTCCCTCCCTGGAGCTCCCAGCAGAAAATCCCTTCCCCAGCCACTCAGATGATGGGCTCTAATTGTGTGGAAAATGGCTGGTACTTTCTTTTACTATCCCAGGCCCATGCCTTGCTGGTACTTGTGCCATGCTGGTCATTAGCAGCCAGCTGCAAGGAGGTCACTCTGCATTGTCATTTTCAATGATGAGTGGAAAAGCTTTTCCAGCCCTCTGGCTCCCATCTCTCATTGGTAGGAGATCTGGGCTGCCTTCCCCCTTATCTTGCTCCTGGAAATTATTTCCATAATTATGTCTTCTGCAAAGGTATCGATACTAATAAAAGTGAGCATGGGGAGGGAAATGTTCTACAAAGCGCTTCAGACATCAGAGCTCCAGCCCAAGGCAGAAGGAGGTGGGAAAGGGGCTGGAGGAACTGGAAGGGAGAGGGTCTGGAGGCAGAGGATGGTACCAGGGAGGAGTGAGGTGGTGTGTCAGGAGATTCCACCTCCCTCACGATGGCGGGGAGAGCATGGGGACATTTGTGGCCCTCCAGGACACAACCCCATCTTCCTCACTTGTATGAAGAAACAGGAAGCTGGTACATGCATCCCTCAGGAAAGCAGGGACATCACCACCACTCAGCAACATCGGCATCCTACTTCAGCACCTTTCTCCTCATGTGAGTGTGGGGCAGATTAGCAGAAGATGCACAGCATTAAAAGGAGGAAGGCAGCCTTGGACAGGGCCTTGCGCCCACCCATTCCTTCTGTGACCATGGGAAGGTCATTTTATCCTCCCAGCTCCAGCTATGGGGCCAATTAAGATGCAGAGGATCTCAGAGGGTCTGCATGAGGACAAACGTGCCCATGTCTGTATGAAATTCAGAGTCTCTGAACACGGGTGTACAGTTGCCTAGGCAGAAGGTCAGTTCAATTCATACTACTTAGGAAGGCAGAATTAAATTACCTAGACTGACATTTGGCTAAGACATGGAGTTTAATATCCCTCTGCTCATAGAAAATGCCAGGGGATATTTAACGGCCGCAAGGGATCCATTTTAGTGCTTGTTGGAGAGATGGGATGGGCAACAGGCCCCTCCATGCTGCGGGGTCTCATCTGCCTTTCTGAACCACCGGCTTCATTTTGAGATGTGTCTAACAACAGCCAGGGGAGATGGATAGCTAAAGACTCACAGTTAAGTGTGAGCATGCAGAGCCTTTAGAAAAAGCCACTCTCCATGGCTGCTCTTGCACGCCGAGTCCTCTCTTGGATGCTGCAGCTGAAAACCAAGTGGGAAGTGCTGTGAGTCGCCTCCCGGCCAAGCCCCCTTCCCAGGAATGTCTGATGATGCTCCCTCAGCTGTGCAGGATAATATTACATCTGGTTTTGTAGCCGCTTAACCAGTACTCAGCCTAATGCCCATCGTCCATTATTATTATTACTACTATTGCTTTTATTACATTACTGCCTGCAGGCCCTTGCCGAGGACAGGGCTCTATTATGCTGGCTGATGTACAGCCAGACAGTCCCTGCCTCACCATGTGCGGGCTAAATGGAGTCAGACAAAGGCTGGGGAAGGAGGAGTGCTCGTCCCCATGTGCGGAGCAGGGATCTCAGAAGCTGCGGAAGATGAAGGACTCCTTCAAGGTCACATAGAAATCAGAGATCTGGACACAGCCTGTCTCCCCTGTGGGACCAGCTCTGATGTTTCCCATGATGAGCACAGTTTAATGAGGTTTGTCCTAAGAGACATAGGTCCTTACTGGACCAGCTGCTGGAGGTGCAGTGCCCTCTCCTGGATCTTGCATCCCTGCTGCCTTGGAAGGACGTGGCAAAAACAGCTTTGGCTTTGTGCTTTTGGAGTGGCTGGCACTGCTGTGCTTTTTAGCCTGGGCAGGAGTCCCGTGGATGGGGGGACACGTATGGGAAGGTATTGCTGGTTTTCCCATTAACCCACAGCGCAGTTGGAAGGCTTGCCGCAGCCAGGAGTACAGCCCTCTTCTACAGCTGGGCTCTGCTGTGCTCGCTCGGAACCGGGGCAGCCCTCCCATGGGCACTGAGGGCACTCTGAAACCCACAGAAACGGGCCTGGGGGTCACATCCCTGCAAAATGGCAGGTGACTCCCACCTCAGCATCCGGGCACCTTTCTTTTTGCTTTCCTACAAACCACCACAGTGGCATCTCTCACTGTTCCCCAGCCACATGTGCCCTGCCTGGCACAACTACATTTAAGCATCCCTCTTCCATGGCTTCAGGCTGTCATGCCAAAAAGCAGGGCCAGGCTCCCTGCATTACCACAGAGAGTATCCCATCGCATCCATCCCAATCCTGGCCCTTTTCTTCCCACTTCCTTGCTGCAGAGCCTCAGTTCGCAGTCATCTGCATTCGTTCAGCTGAACAGACTTTTGTTTTGCAAACCAAGCCCGCTGAGCCAGTGCTGGATTTATACTTTTCCGTATGCGTTTGGACTCCAAGTCCCTGTCGATGGAAGCTGATGTCCAGCCTGAGCCTGGGGCTTTGCAGTGAGTGGAGGAATTGCACAGCCATCTGGAGTAGCTCAGCACAGCACAGCCCCAGCAAGTCATTCCTCCTGCCGAGGATAAAACTGTAAATGGAAAGTTGCATTCAATTCTGCCACAGAGAGGGATCAGTGAGAGCCAGGAGGTGGAACCAGACATCCATGATCAGGCCTGTGGATGCTGGCTCACCAGCTGTTCCCCCAGTCCTTCAGGAGCATCCTCTGAGCACTAGGTGCAGTGGGAATGGAAGCTATTCATTTCTCCTTGCATCCACCATGGCAGAGGAAAGGTCATGTTGGGGTAATGGTGAAGATGATGGTGAAGGAGGACTGCAGCAGAGTGTGTGCCAGGGTGCTGAATGGGAGGACTGGGGAGAAGGAGGTGTTAGTGAGCTACGTCTTCTGGGGAATAGAGCCAATTCTGGGTCCCATCAAGGTGGTTAGGCTGTGGCTTCATTTCAGCAGCCCCCCTCTATCTCACCCACAGCCAAGAAAGTGGGTCTGAAAGCATCACAGGCTGGTTTCTCCTAAGAGAAACAAACAGTGGTGGTGCAGGGAGGGTGTCTTCCTAAGGACAATTGCTGTGATTCCACCATCATTCTGAAGCAGAGATGGCAGAAAATGTCACACACACAACTCCACTCACAGCAGACTGGCCCCACATCAGCATCTGGTCTCATACAGCTTCAAGCAGAGGGAGAGATGCCCTTCATGCATAAGGCAGTGCTGCAGGCAACAGGTAGGTAGGCTAGCAAGTGAGCAGCTCACTTGCCACCACCACCTCCTTCATCTCCCAGGAGAGGTGAAGCCCCTGTATGGACATCACCTCCCACCCACAGTAGATGCACCCCTGGGGTCAGCATGGAGAGAAGGAGAAGACTCCAGGGGCACTCTTCTGAGTGTAGAGTCCTCTGAGAGCAGGGAAGGAGCTCTTCCAGGCAGAGGGGGGCTCCCCATGGCCCCAGCATCCCTCCTCCATGCTTGGGAGTGGAGTTTGCTGCTGGCAACTTAACAAGCTGCTGCTCAAGGTGGTCAGAGCCAGGGGACCATTACTCAGTCCAAAGATTTGCAGGCCAGGAGGGACCAATTGGCCTGTATGTGGACTTCGGAGGGAGTTAAGAGCTCTCCTGGGACATGAGGACTGTATTGCTCTTCTTAGAGTGCACAGAGAGTCCTCTTCCACCCCATCCATGGCTGTGTGCCCAGCTCCCTGTGCCCAGCTCCTTCCTGGTCTTAAGAAAAGGAAAAATATGGGTGTACCCAAATCTCTATCTTTTTTGTTGTTTTTCTATTGAAAATTGGGAGTTTGAGCTGTTAGGAGTTGAGCAAACCCTTGGCAAGGAGCAAGGCTTGCTCTGCAACAGGCAATGCCATTCATCACATCCTGTCTGTGATTTGCTCCCAGCACTCTAAAAGTAGCTGCAGCTTCAAAGCACATTGCATAGCTCACACCCAATTAATATTCACTCGAAATACTCGTCAGGTAGTAAAAATATATCTGTATCCCAAAAGCAGAGCAGGGCTGAGAGAGAGGGACCTGGGGTAGAAGGTGACTATGGCAATCCTTTGCCCTTGGAAAATATGATGTGCCAACACTCTTGAGTCCCGAAAACCCCAGCCCTATACCCAAGGACCAAAATCTGCCACGTTACTGAAAGGTAAGTGTGTTTGAATAGCAGTCAGACTCCCAGAAATCAGGAGGTATGAGGAAAGTGCAGGATTTGGGCATGGTGGGCTCCTTGCCCTGACCCAAATAGCCCTGAGGAGGAAGGGATGGTCTCTGCCCTGGCCAGGATGTTTCTGTGAGTCTCTGCACTGGCACCTCTTTGATGGTGGTTAGTTTGAGCCAGAACTGCCATACCACTGACCTAGACAAGAGAAGGTGATTTGCATCTAATTAGTTTGGGAAAAGTATGTTCTTGTCTTGGCTGCTCCTCCTGGAAAGCCCAGCCAGCTATGACAAGGGGTGTACGAAAGCATGCCATGTGCAAAACTTTACCAGCCACCCTGTTGTCTTCCAGTAAAGCCGGATCCTCCAGAGAGTGTGGTGGCCAAACCCGTGCCCAATAATCCTCGGAGGCTGGAGGTATCATGGCAAAACCCCTCATCCTGGCCCGACCCTGAGTCTTTCCCGCTCAAGTTCTTCTTGCGGTACCGGCCTCTCATCCTGGACCAGTGGCAACATGTAAGTGATGCTGAGCTGGCCGGGACGGGAGGGAGTGGTGGGGGCTGGTGGCTGGGATCAAGTTGCATTGGGAACAAGTGATCAAAGACCAAAAAAAATGTCTATTCACTGCCCAGGCAACCCAGACCATTTTCCTCTCCTTCTCTGTCTCTCCTCCCTTCTCTCTTCCTCTCCATCTTTCTTTTAACTCACATTCTGCCTACAAATGGCTCTGCAGGCTCTCCCTGCTTCGCATTTTCATCCACAGCCCCTATCTACTTTCCATACATATGTTCTATATAAAACCTGCCAACGAGATGTAAAAGGCATTTAAAGTATAAATGTCACCACATTTAAATGCGCCTCTGCCACATTTAGATTTTGAACTGAAGATAAAATACTGCTCACCGTAACTCAGAGCACAGGCATGGAGCAATTGCCATGATGTTATCATATTTCTTACTTTTATTTCTTGTTTCTTTAAAAAAAAAAAAAGTCAGTGAAATCCTTGGCAGCCCGGAGGACAGATTTCATTTGTTAGCTTTTTTTTTTTTTTTTTTTTTTTTTTCCCCTCTGTGTGCTACTTGCATCCTCAGATTGTGAGGGAAAGCAATCTGCTGCTCGAGGAGAGGTGCTGCTATGCTGGCATGGCTCATCCAGCATCCCCTCTTGCCAAGCTGGGCCAGTCAAAAGCCAGTTAGGTGCTTTGCTTAATAAAGCACTTTGTCCCAAAATAAATGCCAAATGGGAGGAAGCACCAGGTTCCCGAGGAGCTCACCTGCATCATGGAGCCAGGCAAGGTTTTCTGCAGCCCCAGTCTTCCTGGGGAGGGAAGTGGCTTAGAGAGGGGTTGGGAGGCTTTGCCCATGTCTCTGCAAGATGATGTCTCGGCAACTTTTTGTGTTGGTTGGGTTTTTTGACGAGGCAGCACTGCAGGTCATGTTTCAGATTTGATGATGGCTTTGAAAATCTGAGAAAGGTGGGAGAGGGTCTTCTTGCTTGTCTCTTTGCCCTTCACTTCCCTCCTGGGATCAGGAGAGCATTCACAAAGCATTCCAAGGGGTAAGAAAGCAGAGATGGACTTTGAATATTAGATTGCTGTAGATAATATTTTTTTCACTTGGGGGAGAAATGTTCAAATTATAGAAGCTGTGAATAAAGGGGAAGAATTAATGGGAAATACTAAATACAGTGTCAGATTTTTCAAGGTATGAAACTTGTGGAAGAAGATTATGTTTTCACCCTCCTATAGCCTGATCCAGACAAGCATCCTGCAAATGCAGGGGTCTGCACCCAGAAATGGTGGAAGAGCTAGTGAGCTGCCTCCCACCTCGACCTACTTGTGGTGTGAGGTCTCTCCATCACTGGGTATTAGGCATCATACTCATGGGGTCAAGCTGTGCCAGTCCCCTCACCACAAGGCCTCCAAGGGGATGGTGTGGCCTCTCCATCAGTGCTCTCAGGAAGACAGCGATGGTGGGAATTACACGGAGGTGTTAGCAGCATTAGCGGCAGGGTCACCCTGTCTGGAAAAAGCAGTTCTAGGGCTGTAAAAACTTGATTTCTCCTATTTAAATATACCCTGAACTGTGGAGAGAGCTTGAGGTACCAGCCCTCATTGTGGGTGCAAGCAGGGCTGTGAAGCACTCATCTCATGGCATCCTGGGAGGGCACAGCAGTCCTGGGTACCGCTTTTAATCAATATCCCCTTGCAAGAGACATGTCCTCTGTCACTGGCTGATGGAGGAGTGTGTTTGGGGAATAATTTGCTCGGTGAGCAAGTGCAAGCATTCAGCGAGTGAGGTACCAGCCTTGTTTTGTGACTCTCCTGCTCTGCTGGCTGGGTAATGAAAAATCTGATTTGTGGATGATTTGAGGAAAACTGCCACTATTCATCAGATGAATTATTTGCGAAGCCTAATTCAATCAGCTCCCAAACACCAGGGGATGGCAGCACTGCAGCAACTGGAGCTGCTCCAACCCCAGACCCCCTTGGCACACTCAGCCTGCTTAGCCCTGCCCAGCACCCTGCAAATACATCCAAAAATTAACCCCACCGATTCCAGCATGCTGGGAGCATGCCCAAGCCACTCTGAGCTCTGCTTTACTTGACCTGTTGCTTGTTGGCATCCTGGTGGGTCTCCCCATTCCCCCAGATCCAGCCAGGAAAGGGGAAGACATGGTTTGGTAGGGTCAAGCCTAGCCCAACCATCTAGCTCATCCTACAGTGGTGGCAGTGAGTCCCTCCTTGAAAGCACAAGTGCCCTGAGAAAGGATGCAGTGGTCACGCATGCACACTTGCATGGGGGTGTCTTAATTCTTGCCAGGGTGAAGGTCTTCTGCTACAAGCTGCCCCTGGTCTTGGCTCTTGCTGTCACTGCTGCCATTTACACACAACATGCTTGCTGACAACAGGGCAGCTTGGGATCCTGGCAGGGAGAGAAGTCTCCAGCAGAGCCAGGAGGAGCTGGGCACATCCCTCTGTGCCTATGGTCCCCACACTGAGCCCCATCCCTGCCTCCTCGTGGCAACCTACCCATGCACCAGCTGTGGGTTTTAAGCATCTCCTGCCACTCCCTTGGCAGCCCTATGGGAAGCCCAGTATCCCTGCAGGAGCAGACTCACAAGGGAGCACTGGAGACTGCCCAGAGTCAGGAATATCCATGCAGACCCTGCTCATATGTGGCATTTCTTGGCAGAATAAGCAGGTTCCCTTTTTCCCCTCCACCTCCTGTTATCTTTGCAGGGTCTGATCTATGCACAGCACCTCAGCAGGCAAGACCGAATGAGCACTAATAGGATCAGATGGATGTTGAGCTGTCGAATACCGTAGGGTCTGATTCAATCAGCATCTGCTTTCTCCCAGGCTCTTCCTTTCAGGATTTTAATAATGCCAGTGCTTGGCACCAGAAGATGAAGCCATCCGTGGCGGGAGCGGTGGATCTTATCGAGACCACCGCTGCGTGAGCTAGCCATAAATGCAGTTACTCCCAGGAGAGAGCCAGGCAATGCTTGGCCCATGCATCTTCCATATCAAGCAATATTTGGGGCTGACCCGGAGCCGGGGGGGGCACCAGTGTGCCACTTGCACTCCCTTTCCCCTGCTCAGCAGTGCATTTCCACTCAGGCCACTTAACACTCTCACGTTGCAGTTCACTCTGGGAATTATGATGACTTGCTCTGGGAATTATTATTGTGGGGAGATGATGAAGATGAGTTTCCACGTGAGCATGTGGCATGGTGTCTGCTGGATGCTTCCTGAACCATCATGCTGCCTTGCAGCAGCTCCCTTGAACCTGGGTACAGGCATTTCCAGGCTGTTCAGGATGCAGCAGTGTCACATCATGTCACATCAGGTGGCCACCAACTCCCCTCTGCCCTACCAGCGCTGAGCTCACTCTGAAACTCAAGCAACTTTAAAGTCACGCTCCTCCCTTTTTGGAAGAGGGGCTGGTGGTTTCTCTGCTGCCAGAAGAGAGATGGGATATTTGTAGCCTAAACAGGTTTTTTTATTCTGTCCTTTTGGCAGAATCTCCCCTTCTGTCTCCTAAATATAAAACATTAAATGTTTAGGGTATCCTTTATTTTTCTTCTGCTTTTAAGTTTGTAATTCAAGCCAGATTAGTGTGGTTTCCTCTTCTGTTTTATAGCCCCATCCTGGCCCCAAGTGAGCTCTCCTAATGCTCTCAGATGTTCCTCTAATGGCTTACCTAGGCTGGAACTGGATACCCTTTCCTAATGGATTGCTAATAGCCTGTTTCTGGTTTTACAGGCTCCTTCAGTTAACTCGCAACAGCAGCGATCGCCACACTCACACATGCGATCTCCCTGCAAGCACATCTGCACGCTCACCCCTAGATGCAGGCGGGTGGCCAGGCACCATCCTGAGCATCTTTGGGGAGCCCAGGGTCTTGCACCCAATTTGCTCCCACCATGTAGCATTTGCTGGAGCAGGGTCTCCCCTTTTCCCATTTTTGGGGGAGAGATTCCATGCACTGAGCACTGACCAGCTCGGTGCATGTACCAGGAACATGGTGAGGCTCAGAAGGTATTTCTTAGCAGCATCAGAGCTGGTGGCCAGACTGAGGGAGGATTTCCTCTGGTAGGTTGCCAGCAATTTGCAGATGCCGTCGCAAAGTCTAATTGAACCCATTGGCTGCGTTGACAACATGAAATGTTAACGAACCGTGAGGCGGGCTGTGCCTCAGATCTTGAGATTTGCAGTAAAAGGTCATGAGATATTTAAAGCTAATAATGTGGTTGGGTTCTCTCCTTCCTCTTCTGTTTTGGAAGCATTAGAGCCATGTCTGTGAGCATTTGTAAAGGATAGAAACATTCTTCTTTGGAAAGGCAAGCAGAAGTGCTCCCACTATCCCAGGATTTTAAGAGCTGGGGCCACAGAGCCCCCAGTGCAGACATCTGTGCCAACTCTGCTGCTGGGCAGCTCTGATATGGGAATTTGACGACAGGAACGGTGGTTTGTAGGTATTGCCAAATATTTAGTAGTTGGGTTCGTTGGTGTGAGGAGGACATGGTCCTCTGGGCTGGCCACTGTCACTCATGTATTGGGGGTGGCTGCCAGGGTGGGCTCAGGCTCATCTCCCAAGGCAAAGCAACATTTTTCAGTCAAACAGGTGAATCTCACAGGCTGTCTCTGGAAGTTCCTGCCTTGGGCAGCCTGAAATAACCTGAAAGTGTGTGCTAATGCATATCCTGCCTGCAACGGGCAAGGAGGAGGGATGGAGCTGGGGAAGGTAATTAGTGCCACTGTCTGCCGCAGCTGCGTCCCCACCGGTGCGGCAGCAATGTCACTTTGCAGCGGGCGTGCTTCTTCGCACCCATTTGCATCCCCCTGTGCCTCTGCCGCTTTGCCGGCGCTCCCCCTCTTTGCAAGGCAACCTTGGCAGGGAGGTCACCCTGAGAGAGCTGGGTTACAGCTTCACGCCTGGTAGCTTTTATTGCGGCACTTCTCTCCCTTCCCCTCCCAGCTGCAAAGTCAGTGATTAAAAAGGGGAAAAAAA